ACATTTTATTTGAAAGACAAAAAAAAATAATCCCCGAACCTTGCCAGTTTATATTTTGCAATTTTTCTAAAGAAACAAAAGCAGTTTTATAATGAAACAAATGTTTTCAACATGAACTTGCATTGAACAATTGCAGTATATCCACAAGTAAATAACTGACATTCTGGACTAAGCAAGAAATACAAGGTCACCTCTTTTTTTTCCCTACTTGTTAATGTCAATGTCAGAATTTTCTTTGAAAATCCCCAGAACATTTCAGAAGTAGCTCACAAAATGAACTGCAAAATGGTATTTATATGAAGCACTATTTATAAGAAAAGCAAAACACTGACAGTGACAATATTTTTTTTTCAAAAAATGCACATTTCTTATGTAGGACTCTCATCTAAAATTAAGTGGAAGTTACAGGCATCAAGTTCTTCTTCCCGAATATGTATAATCAAGAATTTTCTGAAGTGTAGCTTTTTTGAGTTCTTTTTCAGGGAAAGTCTTATGTGATACCATGAAAGAGTAAACTACCATGAAAACTTTCAGATGCAAAAAAATCCTTATTTTGACAACATATTTTTAGCCAAGGGTGTTTTAAAGTAAGATTTGAGAAAGCAAAATGTCACCTGTTCTTCTTTAAAAGGAAGAAGGGCACTGATTACTGTATGTAAGCTTACCTGCCCTCCTTGTTGTTGTGGGGTTTGTATTTTTTGCATATTTATCTGCTCACAAAATGTACATGTTAGTGCAATTATTTTACTCTTGTGATTATGTTACAGAAAAATGACAGAAGGCAGGGAATTACCCTGAGATAAAACAACAGTTTAAACAAATAAATCAACAGAGAAAGCACTGAACAGAACAATACCTGTTTTGGGCAAAGACTTTTTATCCTGTTTTGTACCCTAATATGCTTGTTGTATAATAATCCCATATATCACATATAATGATTCTTAGAGCTATTGTAACAAGACTGTACTATCCTTTTCAGTGAACTCCTCCTAGGAGCTGATCTTCACCTCCTGCAGGGTGTGTATTTGTTACCTGGCTAAGAGGATGTTCTACTGAGAAGGTTTTGCAGAAGATGTTCCAAGAATACAGTGCCTCCATGATTCTGGAAATATCCAGCTTTGCCCTGCTTCCAGCCTAGGAGATGAAGCTCTTCATGCTTCTTGTACTTTGTTATAATCTTTCTGGCCTTGGATTACCTGCGAGCCACCCTCTGTATAAATGACCATGCTTGTTAACTGTTCTCTTGCTCTATCAGGGGTTACAGCATCTGCTTTTATAGCAGCACCAGCCTGCAAAATGTCTTGAGACTCAGCTGTCTCTATCACTGCATGGGAATACACACCAGGCTCATCCTGCATGTCTGGTGGCAATTCTGTGACAATGTAGTGTGTTGCACCTTCAGAGAAGTCACCATCAGAACTCTGAGCCATGGCTTGAGCTAATTCTTCGCTGACAATAATCTGTGATATTTGCCCATCTGACTCAACTAAATCCATGTGTTTACTTTGGACGCTGAGTGCGTGGCTACCAGCTTCCTGCATAATTATCTGAGAGCCTTCTCCAGCTACCATATGCACAGTCCCTTCCTCATTTACAATGACCTGAGTGACACCTTCTTTCATCAGCTGGTCGGCTGCAGCCGTATCACACACAGCAAACTGTAATACTCCTTGGACCACTTTCTTGAAGGCAGCCTGAGCTCTCTCCTGAGATGCAATTATAGCTGATGGGTGCATGACCTGTGTTACTACTTCCAGAGGTTTGGTATCTTCCTGAGTCTCCTGAACTTCATGGAACATTTGTATTTCTTGTCCCTCTGCAACACTGGGAATGCTGGGCATCTCTGCATTTGGCATTTGCAAGAAATCTTTTTGAGTAGACTTGCATCTGTCAAGAAGTCCAGTTTTGTTTTCCGCTTCACCCAGCTCTGTTACGGCACAAAGCAGGGCATCTAATGCCGAGGACGATTCTGGAGGATGGACTGTAGCTTCAGAAGTATCTAAAACTTCTTGTCGCATTATTTGCTGCAGTACAGTGCTACTGGACTCAGGAACCACATCTATTTGAACGGCCTCCTCCATATCAGCTCCTGTTCCTTCAACCACTACCACCTGTGTTGCACCATCTGCCAACTGCTCGGTAAGTATTTGCCCAGGAACCACACTACTCACATGTGAGCCGTTTTGATTTGTGGCTATGACTTGCCCATCTTCTGTAATATGGACCACCCTGGCCATCTGACCAGCCATTGCCAGTGTCTGAAGGGTAGCTGCTGCTGTTTCTTCCACAGAGGCATCAATGCCAAAGTCACCGTCATATCCTTGAATAATAATAAACTGCTGAACTTCTTCGGGTGACTGTGACTGTCTTCTACTGCCCCGAAAGACCTTCTCCTTCACTGGAGAAACCTCTCCCAGCGCTGCTGCCGTAAAAGGACTTGTAGTCTCCACAAATGTTGCTCCTTGCCCCTTCAGTCGGCACTCATAGGACTTGGACACAATGCCTACAAGATAAAACATGCTGTTAACGTGGTATCATGGCAAATATCAGTTCATTACTTTAACAAATTATAGCTTAAGTGGAAAAAAAAATCCTTGACAATTTTCAGATTTCACTGGCAGAAAACACAGATAAAATGAGCAAATGAACAAAACCAATTTGCATGTTTTCCAAATAACATATTTACAGGTTGAAATAATTGCTGAGTTTAACAATTCTGCAGCTTATTAACAATTTAAATGTGTTTTTTAAAATATTCTGTATAAAAAAGCCCAGATAAATACAGTATACAGTTAAAAGCCATTAACACATCCTTTCTAGAAGATCCTATTGGTGATATTTCAGTACTTCAGTAATGAATTTTAGGATCGTATATTACATTAAACATATCTGGGTGTGAAAAACTGTGGCTGATCTTCTTAATACCCTGCTTTTGTTGGCGAGGTAATTGCCATGCTGTCATTTTGATGCCATTGTCTTCCCCTTCATTTCCCACCTAGCATCTTCTCCAGCACACCTGACTGACTCAGTCACTAGCCTAGTTACCTGGAGAAAACACTTGGTAGTTTTGTTACCCTAAGCAGGATATTCTTTAGAATATCATCCAGAGAAACCTCAATTACACTTAATTATTTCTAGATTAAATCAATTAACAAATTATAATACCTGTAACCTCCATATTCCAACTGCTTGCTCTACTACTCGCTCTGGTTTTGTGTCATTGCAGGTTTCTTTCTCAATTCTCCTCACTAACAATAAAGCTTCAGCAAGGCAAATGGTGCCTACAGCTGTACAACATCAAGCCCATCATCCTCAAAGCACAGCCTCAGGCATTTTTGGGAAGACATAACTGAGAGGACCCTGTGACCAGCTTTGTTGATGCCCATGGAAGGACAGACCTAGCACTCACTGTCTCCCCATGTCAGTGCTATCCTGAAGCACCCATGCAGCTCCTGCATGTGCTGGGAAGCAAACTTTGGGCCACAGCCAGTGCACACAGAGAGAAGAGTGGGTCCTGGATACTGAGAATAAGGTGGGGGACTGATGCCAAAGAGGCCTTAGGAAGGCTAATTAAGTCCATGATGCTGAGACTACCCACACCCACACTTCGGTTTAATTCACCTACACAAACAGAAATCACATCTCTGGAATAACAGGTGTAGCATCTTATTACCAACACAAATAGCTATGTCATTGCTTGCTTGGGATAAATCAGGCAAGAAAAAATAGCAACTCTTACAGTTAAATTTCAGGCTAACACTGTACTTTCCAAGCCACTTCTAGTGAACAATGTGCTCCGTTGAAATCAAGAGGCCAAGAAAATTATACTAAAGCTGGTCTAAGGGGGCTCTTTCACCCAAAACATACAGCTGTCAGGCCCTGATCCCACAGAGAACTAAACTGGGCTCTGACAAGCAGACTCATTTGCTCAAAGGTAAATTCACACTCAGAAGCTGTGCTACTCCAAGACTGAGTACTTGGCACCTTGCAGCCTCTGGCAATGTGATATGCTAAGGTGCATATCAAGATAATATTCTAAAATAGCATCAATGCTTAAAAAACTGAGCTCTTACTGGCATCTATCTCTCTCTCTATCTCTCCCTATCTCTACATCTCTCTCTCTCTCTCTCTCTCTCTCTCTCTCTCTCTCTAATCTATCTATCTATCTATCTTTTCTTTTTCTATTACAAAGCCTGTGGGGGTGAACTGTATTGTGAAGCACAGGGAGCAATTTTGTCAAGCTGGAAGGCTGCAAATCACCTTCACAAGTCTAAAATGACATTATGCAACTTCTTGCATCTTAGTTTGCAAGGCAGGTTACCTTTGGAAAAGAAAATTAACAATTTAAGCCATTAGAGTGTTTCCAGGTGATGCTGCATGATAAATCTGGCACATGCAACTGAAGTACATTTTGTCAGGCATAAGCAAGAAGGAAGCTTACTGTGGTACGACTGGTTCTTATCCCCACTTTTCCTGTGCTCTCTGTAGGCACTGACATTCACAAGACCCCCCAAAGAGCAGAAAAATAGGAAGGGGAAATCAACATAAAATGACAATTATCTTAGCTCCTCCACATTTTATAATAGAGTAGAAGTAATTAATTCTCTCAGGAATCTTGCTTTGTTGACATGATAAAAGAGGAGCCTGGCAGTGATGTGGCACAAAATCAAAATAACTCTACAAATCATGCATTTTCCACTGGATTTCAAAATCAAAATAACTCTACGATCATAATTTTCACATGCACACAGCAAAATCACGACACCTTTCCCCTAAGATCATGTAAATTTATGTATGGGACACAGCATCACTGTATTGAGGAGAAGCTCTGGTTTGGGGAAGGGAAAGAAAAAAGAAATTCGTCCTGTTTTCATCTCCTCAAATAAATGCTGTGCCCGTGAATCTATGCAACTCCAGTCTTTACAGTGCAATTGAATGGGAAGTCTCCTGGGTGAAGAGCTATCCGGTGAATCCCTCGCAGCACTGATAATTATGCCATTCTGACTGCTTACTTAATCTATTTGAATCCAGAGGTGAGTTAAGCCACTTCCTGACTATTAAAGTAAACTACATGGGTAAATACTGCTGTCACTAAGGGGTGTGATGAAGCTTAACTACACCAACATCTTAACCTCAGCTCAGTACAACCCCAGCTATTCCATCACAGTTCATAAATGCGATTGCAGGTCCATCTTTTGATTCAGCAATTTAATAACTTCGAGTGCTGTCAGTACTGCTTTGAAAAATGGCTCCTATAAAATGTAACAGCCTCAATCAGATTGTAAAAGATTCACCCACTGAAGATTCTTCCATTTCAACTATAATGAATTAATGTTGAGCTGTGTAGAAGTTCAAGTGTCATTTAAACTAATGTGAATCTACTGTAACTTTAAATTTTAACTGGACTATGACCAAGAATTTACTGGGAACATCAACTTCAATTTTAGTGATTTTTCATGGTAAATATGAATTGCAGATTTTACTGGTTTTCTTCTGTTTTAACAGTGAAAAGCCAACTAGGGAAGATACTTAGAAAACAACATATTTTGAGACTTAGCTGCTATTTCTATAACGAAACTCTGCTACCCAACACAACATTTGTAGGAATTTTTATGTATTTAAGAACATGTCACATTATTGGACTGTATGTAACAACAAATCATGTTGCCCCGGTAAATCCAGCCTGTCTCTCGCCCCCTCTTAAAAATGGGTAAAGGGAAGGGGGAAGTGTTGGCTGACACGGCAAACATAAGCTGCAATACAAGCTCACATTAATATTAGGAAAAGTGGACTTGTTGCTGATTGCACGTCATTGCAAATTAAAAAGATACACAAATAGGCATTAAAATGACAAAATATAATGATACGAGAGCTCATATTCAGACAATTTGTAAGGAGGTGTTTCATATCTAGGGGTGCAATGATCACAGAATTGGTTTCTTTCCAAGAAGTCTGTCATTTCAACAGAGCCATTATTTATCAGTTGGAGTCCTGAGCGACTGTTAGTTTTTTATTTGAAAATGTCAGGATATTTTAGACATTAAATCCATATTTGCAGGTTATTTTAATTCTCTGAGACCACAAACTCCTGAAATAGGGCTAAAAGAAATGCTTTGATGTTTAATGTGCTTCTGGGAAACTACAAATAGGGCTTAGTACCTTTTTCCCTCTCTCTTACTCAATACCTGACTTCCTTTTGTGTGTCTGTTTTATTCTTTTGTTACTGTCATCATTTGTTCCCCACGGAATAAATACCTTATTCTTTTGTTAAGCTTACATTTAATTAAAATGTACAGGATTTGTGCAGTAAACTCGAATGAAACAAATAAAACAAGGGCCCCCTCTCTTGAAGGCATACGTTGTGAATGAAAAATGTCATTACAGACTAAAAAATTTTGCAGTAAACAGGGCCTACAGAGAGAAGTTTCCCCCGTAATGACATCCATAAAATACACAAATGGCACTTTTAGTACCATCCTGAATATGGCATTTTCTGTGCTCTACACACAATCTAAATGGTTTGATCATAGAGCATAATACTCCATTGGGTTTATAGAACAATCAATGTTCCATAAAATGATGTATTTATCCAATAGTAGGCTCAGCAGTTACTGGTGTATGACATTGTAGGACACTGGCTTTGTACTGTTCAGCAGCACACATGCTGGCTGTAAAACTTATCTAACACTACTTCAACAACTTCATCTCATCTGTGTCAAGTAATTTGTTGAAGCCTCAGCTTGGTTTAAAAAAACTTGTAATAAAAATTCATAGAATTTTCAGGAGAATGAAAGCTGATGACAATAGAAAGGTCACATTGTGGCGCCACTCATGGGGTCGGGGGTCAGCCGCAGTTCTAAAACAGAAAGTAGATTTCATGCATCGTGTAGCAGATAAAGATGGCATTAAGGAGACTTGTCTCAGAAAGAAATGCGTAATGCGTTAGGAAAGTCTGGGCTAATATTATATGTAAAGCACCACTTTGCTCTCAGCCAGCAGCCTCTTTAGAATTCTAATCCTTCCCCAAAACTTGAAGCAGGCGGTTGTGTGTGGTGAGGCTGGGCTGAGGACATCCTTCACAAGGAGCACCTTTAGGACAAAGCAGTAAGTCATAAATGAAATAATCTGTTATGACGACGGAAATGATCTGCATTTACACAGCAAGCTTAAAGCAGCTATTTTTCCTTTTCTGCAAAAGTTCTAGGAGGCCTGATTTATAGCCCCTTATTCAGCAACACTTAATTTTTCATACTTTAGTCATTAGGTATATTATTTATTGACACAAACAAATATTTCGTATCTACTAAAATGCAATGAATATTAAATAATGCAAATGCAAAGAGACATCTTTGACTTCAATTAAATACAACCTTTAAGGAATTTAAAAGATATAAAAAATTCAACTTATGTCTGGCATCACTTGAATGAGCAACTGATTTTCTTATTTTAAAAGTTATTGTCTACATGGTAGCAAAATATTTTGAATGGTACGGTAAGTCCACC